GGCCAGTTAAGCCTGGCGGGCCGCGACCTGAGTGACGGTGAGAGCCCGGGCCCGCTGCTTTCGCCCGGGGGAGACCCCCGCTCCTTTGTGCTCTGCCCTTGCCCGGGGTGGGCCCGCTGCCCCCCCCCCCAGGGGAGGGGCCCCTGGCTGTCCGTGATCCGTGGGGCGGGCTGCCCCACTGGAGACTCCGCCACAGACCACGCGGGTAGGGGGGTGCCAGGTTTCTCCTGACGGGGTCTGTCTAGCTTGGGTAGGACACTGTCATGCAGCGCTTTGAAGATGTGACAGGCGCGGCGGTATGTTTGTTTCATCTGCCCGACCTGAAATCACCCCCCACTCATTCACTCGGGGCTTGAACTTGTATTCGAAGTAGGGCTCCAGTTGTTGCTGTGGCGGGTAGATCCGGACTGGTAGAAAACTATTGCAAAAAGGCTTCCGATAGCTTGGATCCTCACCAGACAAAGCTTGGGAACGCATTGGAAGCCATTGCAGTCTATGTAGGCCATAGCCATAGGTGTAATGTGCTCTATTTGTATAAAGCTAACCCTGGCTGGGCCAATGTAGACGCGCTTTTCTGGAAAAGAGCCCCGATCGCCATTTTCGCGATCGGGGCTTTTTTCCGGAAAAGACTACTGGGCTGTCTACACTGGCCCTTTTCCGGAACAGTGTTCCAGAATAAGGACTTATGCCCGAGCGGGAGCAGAATAGTTTTTCCGGAATAGCAGCTGATTTTGTACAGTAGAGCATCGTTGCTTTTCCGGAAATTCAAGGGCCAGTGTAGACAGCTTGCAGCTTATTCCGGAAAAGCGGCTGATTTTCCGGAATAAGTGGCCCAGTGTAGACACAGCCTAAGTGAGTTGATGCATTCTGCTCCAGTAAAGGTTCCAAACAACCCTGAAGGAAGGAGTTAATGAATTATAATACTCCAATCTGAATGTTACAGTGACATAAATGCCACTGTCAAGGAGGTTCAGAGCCAAAAAGAAAGGGTGAGGCTGTTGCAACCAAGTACAGATTAATAAACGCAAGCAATGGCACCTGGTTTTTAAAGGAGCAGCTGGGGATCCTGCAAACCCCAGAAGTGCAAATGCCTTGTCAAGTCTTTTCAGTCATGAGGATCTCACACCATCCTCCTCATAATCTCCATGATGTTTAGCTATTTCAGCTGGTTAACTACGATTACATAACTTCTTTGCTTAAGAATGAGAGCTGATCAGAAAATAAGGGAAATGTACTAATGAAAGTAGCCAATTGTTCATTTTATTTGGAAAAATGTTGCAATCAGCTAAGAAGAATAAAGTTATTTAACATTTTTGGATAATCATAGCGACAATAAAAGTTTAGGATTAAATATTAGAAGCATTTATTATACAAACATGCCATTTTTTGTGTGTAGTACCTGCGCATGTGTGGCGAATAAATTTGGATATTCCAGAGGAAGCCCATCAAAATCTGTCGTTTAGTGCTGCTGATCGCTGGTGGGAGCAAACAGATTTGACCAAACTCATCTTAGCCTCAAACAAACTGCAGTGTCTTTCTGAGGATGTCAAACTTTTGCCTGCTCTCACTGTACTGGATGTAAGTAAAGAGCTCCTCTTTTAATTGACAAGTCACCTAGTTTTGTGTGATCCTTTTGAAACTTGTCACAATCTGCACAGTCAACAAAGTGTGGATGGCCACTGTCCACACCCCATGTATGGCCCTGGTAGGTACTGCTTTAACACAAGATTACAAACCACAGCACAGGCACGAAGGGAGGTCTGGGGGGCAAGTGAATTGCAGCCAGTGGGGAAGAGAAGGGGATGCATCCCTCTCCTTCTCTGAGCCTGCATGCCACAAAAGAGTTATTTCCAGTGCTTCAGAAGCTCTGGCAAGACTGAGCTTGCTGTCTGCCTTTTCCCTGTGGGTGCTCCAGCCTGGGAGCATCCATGAGGATGCCAGACCACAAATGTTGCTGGACTACAAAAGTCTGGACTATAGAGGTCCAATCTCTATTTGAATGCAGTTCCTGCTTGGAAAACCTTAAGAATACAGCCATAGGTAGATACAGAAGATCAGAAGTTTGTGTGTATAAGAGGGTTGGGGAGTCTCACACCAAAGGATTCAGATGAGCAGTGCCCTGTTAGGCTGCCTAAAATAAGAGAACTGTACTCCTCTGTAGTGAAATGACTTTCATCTTGAATTTACTAGTGTCTGGTAAGTTCTTCTCTACCACTTTTCTTCTTGTTGTTTGAGAAAAAAGTAACTTTACTGCCTGCTTGCTGCAGCTGGTGGGAGGGAATGCTTACCCTGTTCTCCACTGGGATGGGGCTGCACACAATTTTCTTTTGTAGGCATTTAACATGGTTTGTTTCTTGACTATAAAAAGGGTATTGACAAACAGCTGTGTTTCCAAAATCTTTTTATTTCTAGATACATGATAATCAGCTGACATCTATTCCTTCTGCTATAGGATTTTTGGAAAATCTTCAGAAGCTGAATGTCAGGTAAATAAGTATTGCAAAGTCTGAATGCAGTAAATACTGAAATATGTGTGTGTGAGTAAATACTGAAGTGTGTGTGTGGTGATTGAGAAACTTTAAAATCTTCTAAAATTGTCTGCCTATAATTTAGGAAAAGCTCTCTAAACAAACACTCTGTTCAGTGTTATTAAATGGCTTTGTAGCAGTGAGGAGAGAACTTTGTGAGGATAGTCAGGCTTTCAATTTGATATTTAAGTTTAAAATTAATAAATTAACAAAGCTCCATTTTTGGTATTGAATGTGCAAAGAGAATCATTCAGATAAACTACTGTGTCTAGACAGATATATTGCACGGGCATTGGAGTCTGCCTTTATGATTCTCCTATTATTGAGGCCTTGATTTGTAACTTTTAAAAACTTTTATTGAGCAATGTTCATTTTCACTGATTTTTCTATATATAGTTCTTCGAGATAATTTTCAGACCTTTTAGCCCAGTGATGTTAATCCTTACTTTTGCAAGTATATATCTCAGACCCAAGACTCTGGATTTCTCAGGTTTCAGTTCTTAGAAGTATTGCAACTAAGTCATATTTTTATCTGCAATGTGATCCCTACTGCTGACACGTGACACATGTAAGGATGCTTGGAGAAAACAGTGATATAAGCATGCTCACACGAGTCTCTCAAATTGTCATGAAAATGTACCAGCTCTGATACAGAATCTACTTATTTGATTGACCAATAATGGAAAAACCTAAACCTCCCATATGTCTGTTTTGGTCTGCGTGATGGGTTCCGCCCTTCTCCAAATATCTTTTGGGAGACTAGTGAGTGAATAGAATTCCAGCGAGGGAGCCCTAAAGACAACTGGACAACACTTTTTACATGAAGAAAGCTGATGTTGTTTGTAGTTAAATCCACTCTATCAGTGAAAGTGTGGGAATCTGAGTTTTGGAGATGTCACTGCTTGTGTAAAACATATGTTGTCTGTATGTTTAAATATTGTTGATGTCATAAAACTTAATTTTGGTTTCATGATGAATGTGCACTGTATATTGTTAATCCTTTGTCACATGACAAATACAGATGCTGAATGTGCCAGGCACTAAGGATGGAATTTTTCAAAAGTGCAAAGGGAGCTATGTGCCCAACTCTCTTAACTTACAAGAAGTCAACAAGAGCTGGGGATCTAATTCCTTCCCTGTTTCTGAAAGTCTTATCATAACCATGTCTAGGAGGGTGCATTGCTTTCTGGTGATTGGGTGCTGAAGGACATTGAAGTGAACTGAAGTCTGTCCATTGACTTCAATGAACTTTGGCTTAGATCCCAGACTTGCAAGGCTCTTCACAAGCCTTTAAGCTCTTTGTTAATCTCTGTATAGACAGTATTAATGTATGTGTTTCATGAACAAATTTAAAACAGTGAAAACCACAGTATCTGAGTTTGGTATGATCAGGGAATGCCTTTTTTCAGTCTTGTTGCTTTTAGATTTTCTATTCCTACTATACCCATAAAAAAGTTTTTCCTGTGGAACAACAAGGTGACATCATCATGTCACTCTGCATCCCACAGCCCTCAGTCACCTCCCCCCTCAGTCACCTGGCTTCCTTCCTCTCTCCTCCCTGCTGCTAACTCCATAACTGGGCCTGCAACCTATGTGGCTTGCGAGTGAGCTAAATATGGCTCTTTGATTCCTCAACAGCAGCAATCACTTTTCTTGCACCTTGAAGAGGTGCTAGGCTTGTGGGAGGGCAGGACTGCATGTTGAGTGGGCAGGCATTGGTGAGGCCCAAGTGGGGGGGGAGGGCCGGGACTGGGGTACGCCTTGGCCCTTGAACCACCGCACAGCAGCTGGCTGAAGCTCTGCCGGTTGCCATGTGGTGAGTGACTGCCGGTGTTTTCAAAACAGCTTCTCTAACACACGTGGGAGGGGAGGTGGCAGGACCCGTGCTGGGGGGAACCATGGAGTGTTGGGACTGAGGTGCACCCCGGCCCTCTGAGCTGTCGTACAGTGGCTGGCTGAAGCTCCAGCAGCCACCACGTAGTGGGCGGCTGCTGGTGTTTTAAAAAATATTTGCCCTGTTGTACCGGCGGTGGGACCTGTGAGGAGGGAGAAGGGGCCTGGCCTGGCGAGGAGGGGAGAACAAGGGACCTGGGCTGGTAGGGTTACCAGATGGTTTAACCAGATGGTTTAACCAAAAATACTGAACACCCCTCCCCCTCTCGCTCCCCCCAAAAAAAACCCCCAGAGGGGGGAAAAAACAAGGGAGAGACCAAAGTTGTTGGGGGGGGGGGG